GGGGAGGGAGCAAGTTGGATTCTTACCTGAGGGACAAGGCTGGGCTGGCCTTGCAGGAGGGGCCAGTGGAGCTGCAGAGACCCCCGCAGGCAGCCCCCGTGTGGGGCAGGTCTGGCCAGGCCTGGAGCAGGGGTTCTGCGTGAGGGCAGAGCAGGGCTCGGGGACCTCGGGGACCTCAGTGGGGTGGGGCCTGGCTCCTGGAACCTGAGCACACAGGCTCGGAGGGGACCACAGGTGGGAAACCGGGAACAGCCTGGGAGGGAGGAGCAGATGAGGAGACCGAGCCGCAGCCGCTCATTCAGCCACTTCGCCTCTGAGCAGAAGCGGAGGAGTCCAGGGGGCCTGGAGGGAGGCCCACCACGTGGGGAGTCCAAGAGGGTCATGTGTGAGTGACTGTGGGACTGTTCTGGGGCTGCATGCACCACCCCCTGGGGTCGACAGAGCTGTCCCCTGCCACCCCTATCATCTGCCCATTTCACAAGTGAGGAGAGGGAGGCCGGAGGAGGGGGGAGGGTCTGGCCCCAGGTCAGAGCCTGTGGCGGAGCTGGGAGCCCGTCCCTGCCCCCTGTCCCCTAGGCCCTCTGCCCACTCCCGGGAGGAGCACCTGCACCAAGACCCCGGCCACTCTCAGGTCAGGTTCAGGGCCAGGCCAGGCTGGGCGGGGCTTGGGCCTCCTGTCCCCTGGCAGGGGAAGAGCGCAGGAGGGGGCGGGCGAGGCGGCCTCCACCCGAAGCGGCTCCACGAACGCTCCCCCACCTTCCTGGGAATAAACTGCACATTTAGAGTCATTTTCCTGGAAGAAGAAAAATAAACTTCCTAAAAATATGTGTTCCTTCTCACCTCCTCTCGGGCGGGAGCAGCCCAGCTGCAGAGCCGGGGGCGGGAGAGCCTGCCCAGCCCCCGCGGCAGGTCACCCTCAGCACTGTCCTCCGGGAGGCCCCCGCCTTGTTGCTTTTCTGATACTGGGGACTGAACCCAGTGGCATTTTACCACTGAGCTGTAGCCCCAGTCCTTTTGATTTTTTTTTATGATTTTGAGACACGACCTCACCGAGTTGCTGAGACTGGCCTCCAACTTGGTGTCCTCCTGCCTCAACCTCCCAAGTAGCTGGGATTCCAGGAGAGGGCCCTGGCCGTCCTGGAGATGACACACGGTGGGGTTAGGGTCTGCTGGTTTGTATTTAGCATTCTGGGAGAGCAGCACTGCAGCTAGCTTGGAGCAGTGGGTGAGCTGTGGGTGGGCACAGGCCTGGCACTGAGGGAGCTCCCATGCGGGCAGGGGGCGGGGCGAGAAACACATAGGTGACTGCAATCCAGTGGGATGTCCCTGCTCTCTCCCTTGTCCTGGTCATGTGCATCTGGTAGGCACTTTCCCTGCCTGGATGCGGGGGAGCGGGGTGGGGGAGCCTGGCGTCCCATCCTAGCTCTTGACCAGTGTCTCCCCAAAATGCAGGCGAGGATCACTAACAGCTCAGGACTTAGCTCTAAGTCACTCTTTGCATGAAACCGGGAGACAGGAGACAGAAGCTGTGGCACCTCTGGGGGGCTGAGTTTCCCTGGGATTTGCTGGTGAAACTTTGTCCAAAGACCTGTGTCCCCAGGGGCTCTGAGGAGCCTGGGGGTCTCCAGGAATCCAGGCCAGCATTGGCGTCCAGGTAGGCAGGCCTCCTCTCCGCTGGAGGGCAGGTGTGGGCTGCAGGCTGTTCTGGGCGCAGCCATGCTCCTGCTGTTGAGTTCTCTCCTGGGGAACAAGTTACCCCAGACCCAGGGTTTAGACAGCCATAGACTAACGCGGGTCGGGAAGCTGGGTGCACCCCAGGTGGTGGCTGTGGTCTGGGAAGTGTCTCCCGAGACGGCAGCGAGGGCTTAATCCTGACCAGCAGGACCCATCAGGGCTGCGTGAATGTCCCCCGAGGAAGCAGAGGTTATAAGGTCTTGGGGGACCTAGCCTCAGATGTCACACTCTGCCCCTTCGCAAGGTCCTGCTGTTTCGGTGGTGACACCCAGTCCTGTGGGCAGCGACTTCACAAAGGTGAGAATACTAGGAAGCTTCTTGGGTGACTGACTTCGGCCTTGGAGACTGCACTAGGTATTGCATCTACCTTCTGGTGTCCCAGTTTGAAGGATAAATTTGTCACCCTAGTGAAAATTCAAAGAGCCCCAACAGAGAAAAATCAGAGACAATGATAATAATAACTGCTACCCCCGGCCGTGCGCCTAGCCCTGTGCCAGGGGCCTCCAGTTTACCTTGTAAAGCAGAACTGTTGTTACCCCATTTTACAGATAAGGAAAGAGGAATAAGAAGTCAGGTGACTTACAAAGGTCACACAGGGCCAGCTGGAGATAAAATTTGAAGCCATCAGACTTGAGAAGACTTGGAGGTGTTGGTGGTTTGTGAGTTTTACAAGCCAGTGATGTGGCCGCAGGAGACCTCAGGACCTTGGGCTGCTCTCCCCAGCCCCGCCCATCAACCCCATACCAGCCCTGGGAGAGAGGTAGTCTTGGGCTAAATTAATACCCCTGGTGGCTGCTGGGGAAACTGAGGCCCAGAGAATTCAGAGATGTGCCAGGAGTCACCCAGCAAATCAAAGGCAAAGCTTGGGCCTCTGCCACGTCAGTCACACCTTCCCATTCCCAGCCAGAGGGCTCAGCCCTCTGGGGCAGGAAGGGATGAAGGAGGGGAAAGGCAGATGCCAGAACTCTGGTGACCTCTTCTCCCTGGCGAGATTCCTGACAATGCCTCTGAGCCATCCCAGCCCTGACCCTCGAGCCCAAGGCGTCCTCCATGCTTGCTCTGGGCGGTAGCCCCCTCGTGTGGCTGCAGCTGGTAAGTACAGAAAATCTCAGGTTCTCTTCCCCTGGGGGGTGCCTCACCACCCAAGAGAAGGCAGCCACTGTGGCGGCTGGCAGGAGGTTGCCAACAGACATCCATCAACAGAGTCCTGGACTGGGCGTCAGGAGACCACAGGTGAAACCCTCCCCTTGCCACTGACTCACATGGAGCTTGAGTCTCAAGTCCTCACCTGTACAAAGGGCTGAAAGGTCAACCCTGTCTACTCCCCAAGGCTTTCTCAGGGACCAAAGACACCACAATAGTGAAGGTGCTCAGGGTCAAGGACTGTGACCACACAACCGAGGGAAGAATGGCCACTGGAAGGACTCTGAAAGAGACACAGGGACGCAGGTGGTGGCAGTCCCAGACATGGCCTCCTTGGGGCAGACTCCGGGAAGCTCAGGCTGCAGCGACAGGGGCTCTACCCTGGCGAGCGGAGGGGAAACCACAGGCCCGCAGCTGTCTGAGCCCAGGACTTGCTGGAGAAGTCAAAACGTCGTCTCCCATCCATGCCTCTGAACTGGGGGTAATAACCACATTCTCTGCAGAATTGCTGCAAGAACAGTCAGGAGAACACGTGGAACCCCCCCGGGCACTCAGCAGCTAGTTCCCAATAAATAAATACGGTCTTTCCATAATGACCAAAACCTGTGCACAACCATTGGGCGAGTGAGGTTAGAGAGAAAAACGGAGGCACCCATTTCCTACTGAAGTCTGTCTCCATGGCTTGCAGCTGCTTGTTGAAATTCTAACAAAATGGGTCTGGGTAGCAGATAACATTTATTATTCCAATGTGTTGGGCACTGTTAGAAGTGACCTAATTTAATCCTCACAACCAGCCCTGCACGTAAGTACTACTATTCTCCCACCTTCCAGAGAAACTGGGTCTCAGGCACAGCCAGGGGAAAAGGGCAGTTGGGACCAAACTTCAAATTTAATCCTGGCACTGAAGCTTCCCCAGGCCTCAAAAGGAGGTGGCAGTGAGAACACTTCAACTCTAGATCCCTGCTTGCTACCACTAAAAACAAAACGTTTCACTAAAAGCTGAAAGACCCAAACCAAATCAAAACCTGCTGCAGAACATGCATCAGCAGACACCGCGCCAGCGCCTAGGCCACGCCTGTGATGTCAGGTGCTAATGGGTCATTAGTATGAGGACTTGTTTCACCAAAGCTCTGAGGTTTAGCCTGTCTTTTGAGACTCTTGCTTTCCAAAGGTCACAGATAGCAGGCAAATGAACCCATCTGTGGCATGCATGCTATCTGCAGGCCATGAAGGCCCACAGTGGGATGACTTTGGGACCAACCCAGCCACAGGTGCCAAAGCAGGATCAGGTCCTACACAGGAACCCTGCAATGGCCCCAGCTGCCTCCCTGCCACCACCTTTTATCCCTGGATCCCCTGGACCACTTAAGTTCCCTTGACAACAGCCACTCCCTGCAAAGGCCCCACCAAGCTGGTATGACCTCGCAGCTGGCCTTCCTAGCTGAGTCCATCCAAATCTCCAATGCAGACCAAAGTTTGAGTGGCAGTTTTTGAGTGGCAGTTTTTACCAAAGCTGTCTCTGGAGCAAGGGTGGGCTCCCTGGGCATGATTGACAGACAGCTTGGTGAGCCTCCTACACTACCAGCAGGAGGAAATTCCTAGGCTGAGGGTAAGAGGAAGAGGCTGGGATGCCAGGTCAGCCTCAGCAGCCCCTACCAACGAGTGGCACAGGGAGCAGAGTCCCAGGCAGATGGCCCATTGGTACTACTAAACCCCAGGGCTCACAAATACCAGAGGCCAGAGAGGAAGAGTGAAGAAAGAAAGAACATCTGGAAAGAATGGATCAGACCACAGGGCACAGATTTTTAAGAGGACAGACTTGGGCCCAAGAAGCAAATGTTATAAGTTACCAAGAGGAGGAAATTGGGCTTCTATGTAGATGATCTTTTTTTTTTTTCTTTTTTTTTTGGTTTATTATGTAGATGATCTTGATTGTGGAAGCGATGGGCAGATTAAACGCAAACAACTTTGAATCAAATTGGGCTCAAGGGCCATCAGCTTGACACTCAGGCCCTACTCCAATTTTCCGCCACAAATAAGCAGAAAGGAGGAAAAGGCTGTCCTGGGGCATTCTATGGGAGTGGTTCAGGCAGGCAGGGAGGGGGTTAAAATTAAGCACAAACCCAGATTCCAAAGTTCTGTATTTTTCAAAATAAAGATCACACATTGTTTAGAGACAATCTACACAAGAGTTACAAAAAATAGTTGCCCAGGCATAAGCATACACAGGTTTGTTAATTATACACATATGGTTACAAGTGTGCTTGCAAAAAAGTTCATTGGAAATATACACAAGGCTCTGGAAATGTACACCGTGTAGTGTTACAATTCTATATTCAAACAAGGAAAATTGACAGTATGTTACATTCACTTACAAGTAGACAAAATGCAAAATACAGTTCATCTTCTGTACAAAAAGGAAGGGCAATTCACACTTTACAAGGTGAAGGGGCTGAGTGTGGGGAAAGCTGGGACAGGGCTGAACTTCTGCACGTCCTTTTGACTTTCACAAAGTAAGCAAAACATTACTTTTTAGGGTAAAAAAAAAAAAATACTAGTGTGAACTGAATCATTTTGAATAACATTTAGAAAGGATCTCGCTACTGTCTGACTAGCTGACAAATAAAACCAAGCTATTTTTTTTCTTTTTAAACATTAACTAGGCTGTATAAAGAACATTTATTCCTTCAAAAGAAAAAAAATTTACTTCTGGTTGAAATTACAATTTACAATATACAACACTATATGCTACGACCATAAAAGGTGAGAATATACACTGAATGCACAGGGCTGGCTAATTCTCTTTTCTTACCAAAAAACGTGTTTATGTTGATTCAAACTTCTCCACATTTACATTACAGGTATACAAATGTACAATTGTACAATCAAAAGTATGTTCGACTACTAGGGTACATTATAGATACAGATTAGACATCAAAACAAGAAAATACTACAAATTTGTATATATGCAAAGTCTACACCAAGTATACACTATATATTTATAGAAGCAAGACCAAAAGCAGAGTTGGATTTTTTTTCTCATGCTAAATAATCAGATTTTGCCTTTCAATGTTAACAGAAAAAAATCCAGTAGGCAGTAAACAGTCGCCCCGCCGGCCAAAGGCCGCTCTGGTGTTCACACCTCCTCCCTGCAGCTCAGACTACACCTTCTTCTCAGCAAAAGTCTCCAAAAAAGAGCAATTTTTAGAAGTCTCATAAACTTAATGTCAAAAACTGAGTTTCAGCAACTCTGAAAGATTTGTTCATTTTATATATATATACATATGTATATGTATATTTTTATAAACAGTGTTAAATGCCAGTTTGGGTTCATTTAACTAAAATTCAAACTTCCCAGGTTTTTTTTTTTTGTTTTGTTTTGTTTTTATTTTTTACTAAAATGAGGAGGTGGGGAAGAGCTATTTGCAAAACTTGCCAGCGAGGCAAATGAGTTAAAAACCTTTTTTTTTCTTTTTTTTTTTTTGAACTTTTTTTTGTTAAACCAACCACCCTGAAAGTTTCCACACGTGAAATATAGATACAACATTGAACAAAATATGTGGCCTCCCATGTACATTGGTTACTTATGTACAAGTATCCTATACACCAGTAAAACAGCAGGGCAATTAGTCAATTAAAAAAAATAATTAGTACATGTTATGTGTAATAAAATTAAATTTACAAAGGCTTTTCCACTTGTGGATTTGATTCCTTTTTGGAGGAGGGAGCAATCCCGGAGCAACCGATTGCCTATTTCAGATTCCATACTAGGACATTTCTGGTTGCTGGTTGGATCTGCCAGGGGGCCAGTGAGGTCAGCGGGAATGGGGAGAGGGGTGCACTGCTCAGATGATACCATTAGGGGGGCCACAGATGGGCCCCAAGTCCACACCATTCTTCATATAGTATTTCTCCAGCTTGGCCAGGATGTGCTTGCCATAGGTGTACTTGCGAAGAGTTGCAATATGGGGCCGGATCTGGGGAGGAAGGACAGCATGTGTTATAATAGGCAGGCCTGAGAAGAGACTGGCTGGCTCCAGAGAGCTCCCATCCATCACCACAATCCGCACACATGTGCATTTCTGACAGCAACACCCACTGGCCCAGCCAAATCTCCTGAGATCTTGAGAGTAACCCATCCAACCAGTAGGGCACTGGTACAAGGTAGGAGTGCTAGGGAAGTTGGCAGCCATGGGCCACTCAGCACTTCCCCACAAACACACAGGTAAGACCCCTTGGCCCCAGGCTCAGCACCCAGGTCACTTGAACAGTGGGGGTTTTCAGATGTGGGCACCATTAATCCTGAACTCACCACATGACCGTGTCTCTCTAAGATCACAGGAAGTTAATACTGATAAAAATTTAAATGGTAAAGATTATAAGTGAGGATGGCTACCCCATTTTAGTGGTGGGTAGAAAAAAATGGAAGGTACAGGGTGCATCCATGTGTTGGATGGATCAACATCAAGATCAAATGACTGGGGGGCTGGGGATGTGGCTCAAGTGGTAGCGCGCTCGCCTGGCATGCGTGCGGCCCGGGTTCGATCCTCAGCACCACATACAAACAAAGATGTTGTGTCCGCCGAAAAACTAAAAAATAAATATTAAAATTCTCTCTCTCTCTTAAAAAAAAAAAAGAAAAAAAAAAAAGATCAAATGACTGGTAAGGGCACAGGTATTTGAGCCCAAACTGCCAGGATCCCCCCAAAAGTCCATTTGTTCCCCATTGTGCTCTCCCCAGCACCCTGAGGCACTGGGCTCACCCTCGCCCTCTATGACCCAGGTGCCTGCTCAACTCCAGAAGCTTTCTCCTGCTCTTTTCCCTGAGCTCATCCAGCTCCCCAAGTCCTGAGCATCTCTGATAAGCAGAGGACTACTTCTCCATTAGGGGGGCCACAGATGGGCCCCGTTATTCTACACACTTCAGCAGTGTTCACTACCTTTTGCTCAACCCTCAATCTTTCCACACAAACATAAAGAACCATGGTTTATCAACCCATTTCCGTATCCAAACTCGCCCTAATGTACATAAACACAGGCCCAAAGTGCCAGAGATGATGGGTGTTTTAGAATGAGAGCTCTGAGGGTGATGACCCGGCCTGTTCATTTGTGTTCTCAAATGAACCAAGGGTCAAGTAGATCTAGAAACCACCGATGAAACTCACATAGGACCCCAGACACAGATCACATAGTTCACTCCCACCTAAGTGCTAGGTGGAAAGCAACTGGTTCCAACCGTGAGGTATGTGGAAGCAAAAACATGCCTACCTCCCTAAACTTGTCTTAAAAAAGAATGCAAGGGCTGGGGTTCAGTGGTAGACCACTTGGCTAGCATGAATGAGGCACTGGGTCTGATCCTCAGCACCACATAAAAATAAAGGTGTTGTGTCCATATTTACAGGGAGGGGGAGATGAGGAGGAAGAGGAGGGGGAGGAGGAAGAGAAAAGGCAGAAGAATGGAATAATGCTACATTTTGTCACTAGAACTTAAGGTTGAGGATCCCATGATTTGGGTAGCTCTACTCCTGAAAACTAGGTGAGATTCAACTCATTTACCTTTATGCCTGGCTGGTGAGTCATGTCTCTTATTAAAAATCTTTAACTCTGCCTTCCAGTAAATAACAACAAGGAGGCACATACATGTGTGCAATCCTGGAGTGCACCGGTCTCTTATTTGGCTTAATAAGAGGTCAAAGATAACCAACCCACTCTCCTCCCAGTGTTCCCCTTTGCTGACAGGGCACCACCTAGTGATAAAAGAGGGAAAGAAGACCCAAGGACCTTCCTTCCTTGACTCCCCCAACCAATCATCTGCAAGACCCTGCTGATTCCAACTCCCCAATTCCATCTGCTTCTCTTCCATCCCAAAATTGTCACCAGTTACTGGCTTAACTATTTTAACAATCTCCTGTCTAATCTTACCACTCCTCCAAGTTACAACGCCTGCTCAGCAGCCAGGACACTTATCTGAAACGTACACACATTGCTATCACCACAGTCCTGCTGGACTTTCTAGAATTCTTAAAGTACAGTCATCTCTGTTGCCCCAAGACTTTACCCACCATGTTCCCTTTTCCTGGAAAGGTTTTTCAAATGTTACACATATAGGGGGCCTTGTCTGTACCCATAAATTACAAGAGGCATACTGACATATTTTTATATGCTCCACCCACAATCCTTATTTCCCTGACACTACAACACTAATCTGCACATAATTTGGTGTAGCCATACAATGCTTGTGCAGAGGATGGCCTGCCACAGAGCACACACTTAGTATTTGCTAGAGGAATGAATGGATGGGCTTAAAATCCTTGACATTTCCAACACTCCTATGCCTCCACACATCTCTCTGTGAAACTCGCCTGTCTGAAGAACCCTGGACGCCCCCAGACTTCAACTGTCATTGCCAGCACCAGTGCGGTGGGTGGGTTTGCACAGGAGGTGGAGGGTGTCTGTCTGGCTCAGAATTGAGTCCGTAACAAAGATTCTCATTACCGAACTCTGTTCTCAGTGAGGGCAAGTGGGTCATCATTGCCAGACAGCAGCAACCCCTGCATTGAGAAGGGCTAAGGGTTCAGATCAGAGCACCCTGAGGCTCTGGGCACTGCTTGGCACAAACACAGTTGAGCATGCCCTTCCTGCCCGCGGGCTCAGTTTGCCTCCTGGGCGCTGTGATCTGGGTGGTGCTGGGTGGATCTGCTCTGACTATTCCTGAAGCTGTGGACCTCCTCTTCAGGGGACTTCTCTGTTGGTTCCCCACTTTTCAAAGTTTTGTCTCCACTCCCCTAACTCCTCTCAGTCTTGTCTTCCAGCCTTCCCTGGGGGACACAGTGAAGGGAGAAGGGACCCTCTCACACGTGTTCCTCTGCTTTCCATTGCTCTTCCCCACCAGACCCCACAGCCTGAGGGCAGAGAGGTCGTAGCTGTCTCTGAGCCACCCAGATCAATGTGCCAGGTGTGCAGTGTACTGGGCAGGCAGCTGTTCAGTGAGTGCTGGTGGAATGGGTGAACAGGGAGGAGGGAGAAGAGGAAGGGGAAGGTGAATTGGGTTAAAGTTTGGTCTGCCATAATGCTCAGTTTATTTTAAGAAAATGAAAACTTACTATTATTTTACCTGCTTCAATTATTATCAAACAAAAACCCAACTGTAAAATTGTATCTACTAAAGGCTAAGTTCTGATCAGAGAAAAGTGTTGAGAATTACTGATTTTTACAAGAAGACACTTGATCCACTATAAATTTCAAAATGAATTTGCACAATTCATGCTTGCCATGCACTGAAAGGCAGCCATAAGCACTGAAGTAACTAAAGACTGATGTTTTCATAGGGTTCACTGAACATACCACAGAGAAACATCAAACACCAAGAGAAAAGTTAAAGGGGAAACTTACAATTACCTGCTGGTCTGAGGGAATAAATTCAAGAGCTTTCTGGATAACTCGGCAGCCGTACATCTGTAGCGCTAACGACAAGACGTGGCCCCGAATCCGTTCTGCCAAAGCCAGCTTCTGTTCATGGCTGCCAAACTAGACATAATATGTGGGTGAACACCATTACTTAGGTAGAAGAGAAGTAGAGAAAGCAAAGCACTCATTATTTTGTATCAACCACTGACATGATCTCTTTTCACCCTGTTATGTATAATTAACTGAACCTTTTATTTAAAATAAGAGCCTTTATTTCTTAAAGCCTGTAATTCTCAGTCTCTGATCATACGAACCCTTTTTTAAAAAATATTTTTCTAGTTGTTGATGACCTTTATTTTATTTATTTATATGTGGTGCTAAGAATTGAACCCAGTGCCTCACACATGCCAGGCAAGTACACTTGCCCCAGCCCCAGGAACCCTTCTTAATGCTGGGAGGTGGGGGGGCGGGGGGAGACCTCAAATATCTAATAGTGGTTTCTGCTAAGTAAACATTTAACTCCTTGGGCTACCATTAATTTATTAATACTATTAAATTAATCTGTACTCCACTAATTACCAGAACACATACATTTATTCTCAAATGAATAATGTGTGGGAGACACTGTTTTGTAGGGCTTTAGACAATGTCTGGGAAAAATGCAAGGACTTCTTGCAGTGACTCCACAGGACTCTGAGGCCAGGTATCTGAGGCCCACTGATTGAAAAGTTTCTTCATCTAAGTGAAGTGCCAAAGCACACACACACACAGTTTAGAATTATTGTCTTTCCAAGAACTGATACTATTTACAGGAGACAACAGACTTAGGAGGGGAGAAGATAGGCCAATCAAGAAGCAAGGCTAGAGTTAGGTTCATGGCTCAGTGGTAGAGTACTTGCCTAGCACGTGCGAGGCACTGGGTTTGGTTCTCAGCACCGCATATAAATAAGTGAATAAAATAAAGGTCCACAAAAAAACTAATAAAAATATTTTTTTTTAAAAAAAGAAGCAATGCTATATGATCCTAAAATGGCACTAAGAAGGATTTCCTGCCCTTAGCTTTTTAATCTCTACTTGAATAGCATTAGCATCAGACAAGAGAAGAATTTATGAATTATCATAAACCCTCCTTTTCTGTACAAATATACTAAGCTCCAGCTTGTCCTAAACCATAGGCCTACTCTCCACTCTATGGTCTGCTGTCCCAAGCTGCACCAGCCACCAGAGCTACAGTTCTCTGTGACAAAACGGTAGTACAGAGACATTCTAAAATCAGAAATACAGTGGTTACATTTAGACTGGTTTCTTAGTTCACAGCTGGAGCATTTAGTCTAGAATATAAGTCCATGTGAGAAAAATGAGGAAAAAAAATAAAACCTGTGAGTTCGCCATTTTTTAATCCTCAAACAAATGAAATAAAATAAAATATAGGACAAATCTGTTTGGTGGCAAGTTTTATTCAGTACCAACCCCACCAGATTCTCCATTTTGCCATTTTGACTTCAGATTGATGGCAACTGTCAAGCAACAAATCGCTGCCTCCTTGAAATTTTTAATTTATTAGAGGAATCACACATTAATCCTTTCCAAAGACAATGATACAAAAGTACACATTATTCAAATTGCAAAGTAAAATAAGAAGTCAAGGCCAAAGGATCTCCCAGAAATCAATTAGCAATCATCATGACCTGGCCTATGGTGGAAAAAAACTGAAAATGGTATTCAAAGACAATTCTCTCTAGGAATCTTTTGAAAAATTTTTCCCATTTTTCACAGTGCCTTAATTTGTGATCCTGCTAAAATACCTTACAAATACCATCCTAAAGAAACATGTTTGGTGAAACCATTTTGACAATCAGAAATAATGTGCTAGGTCCTAAATGAGAACAATTGTCAAACTACACTGCCAGAATACACTGGCATCATCTGCTTGGGTATTTAAACCATACAAAATAAAGTGTTGCTAACAAATTGGAAAAATACTGAAAGAGAACTTCAAAAAGACCACACACGCTTCATTTTAAGACCGGAATAGAACTGCTATTCTTGAAAGTGCCAATGAAAATCAAAATACTCTAGATATTATATAAAGTCAAAGAACAGAAAGAACAAAGACTCACTTCAAAGAACTTCTGAATGACATAATTTCCAAACACATCCACCATTAGTTGGTAAGCAGCCTGGAGGATTTCATTGAAGACAAGCTGGCGCTCAGCTGCTGTGGCACGCTCTAGTTTCAGCTGAATGAATCTGAAGTCAAAGTAAAAGGGGCAAACACAGCATGTTAAGAAGACTTGGAAATTAACAAGTATATGACACTTTAAATATCAGTACTGGGATATGCATTTGCATCGGCACACAAGAAATTGAACACTGTTTAAATGCATCTCTTGAAGGAAAAATTTCTGAAAGGGGGAATTATCCCTTAACTTAGCTGAAATTTTAAAAGTATATTTAAAATTTTAGTATATTTTATTACAGAAGGGTGTGTATACAAAACTGTGAACTTGATTTTGCCTTTAGAAATAAGTCTTACTTCAATGACTTCCAATCTTATGGTCCTTACTATATTCTTTGGCCCATATGTGTAAGAAGTAGCATTTATTATCTTCTGAAGTAATAGCCATTCAGTTTGCCTTGTTTGATTCAGGTGACTATATCAGGAAAAGCATGGTATTTCTTAATCTGGCCTATAGAATGCAAATATAAAGTTGGGTGTATGGGCACATGCCTTAATCCCAAAGACTTGGGAGGCTGAGGCAGAAGGATCACAGGTTTAAGGCCGGCCTCAGGAAATTAGCAAGACCATGTCTCAAAATAGAGAATTAAAAAAATGGGCTGGGATGTGGCTCAGTGGCTAAGCACCCTTGTGTTCAATCCCCAGTTTAAAAAACATTATCATAATCCAAATATAAGAAATCCTTGCACAACAGTAAGTCAGCAAAACTTGGAAGAGGAGGGAGGTTATTAAAAGCTTTTTCACTGAACACCAACATAGAGAAAGAAAGAAGCAGAAACAGAGAAATGGGAAAGAAGGATAGGGATGTTGCCTAGTCTCTAGGACCATATTCCCCTTCTGCAAAGTCCTGGAACAGCCCAACAGGAAGGGTTAAGCCAAGCCAAATCTAAATCTAGTTCCTATGCTGGCTTGTTCTCTCACCTCCACAGCTGGTAGACTTGTCTTACTCTGAAGCACCCAAGATCCAAAATTAGGTTTAAATGATGTCTTTTTGAGAGCAAAAGATTCTTTGTAATGCTTCAAGTAGCAAAAGTGTGTGCGCGTATTTGTATAGTGCCTCTCTTTCTTAAACTACAAAATTTTTGGAGATTCTCCTAAACTAGAAACACAAACTACCACTCTGTCAGACAGGCAGAAGGAAGGGTTCCTTGAAGCATGTGATCCAGACAACTAAAGGCTCTTTCCAAATATTTGCTTCTCTGGCAACCCTCATAATCCACATCCCTCTGAAGTGAACGGAGTACCAGGAGGCACACTAGCTATATACTTTGTTTGACTAATACTATGGCTATTTGTTTTCATACATGCCTACCTGAGGTATGGAATCTCAGGCATTAAGGTTTCAATTACTTCCAGCGCCAAAGCCAACTCCTCACCTGGACCCATGCTGGTCTTGGGAAAATTCCATTATATGTCCAGCAATCTCCCGAAGTTGCAAATTAGGGTACCGGTTATTTCGAAAATCTTCCAAAAGTCTGCTCCTGCCAGAGGGCATGACATCAGACATTCCGTATCGTAAACGAGAGGAAGAAAAAAGGGTGCTGCTGGGGCTGAAGAGGCTGGAGGCGCTGCTTGCGCTGCGGTACTTGGCTTCAGCGCCGGGAGCAGCAGAGATGTATCTTCCACTGCCATTTGTTAGTCCTCCTGTTGGTTACAGAACAGAAGGACTTAAGACCATTCTTGTAGAATGTCATTCAAAAGACGAAAAATCATCGCAATACATGAAGCCTGCATTGCATCATCTCTGATTTCTTCAATTTTGTTGCTTTTGTATTAACTTGATTTTATTAGTGCTGCAACTTCATAACTTACCAAACTGGAAGGAAACTTTCGTGCAAAGATTGAGAAGGAAATGCTTTTTACTACTGACAGTAGACTGCTGGCAAGAATGGAGCAATAGTAAGTGCAGCCTTTAGTAAATAAAATATGGAAACGTGCCGACCGTGTGAACCCAGCACCGAAGCACCAGCAGCAAGGACTCAGAAACCACAAAAAGCACCGAGCTTCAGTGGTTGTCCACTCTAAGCTCTGTGGAGACTCCCTTTATTCCTAAACTCCACTCTCATATGAGACTCATCCCTAAAGATCCAGAATAATCTGTTTATATAAACCTACCTATATATGAAACCTCCAAAATCTTTATTTGAAGGAATAATTCTGTTGCCAAACACACATCTGAAAACCACTAAGACATGCAAGATAGAGGATAAGAGGGTAGAAAAAAGAAGACACACTTTGAGAACTGCCACTCATGATTTCTATAGGATAGCGCATGAAATGACTGCAGTAGCAACAACCTTCATGCCACTGACACCACTGTTAGGTCTGGTGACAAGGGAATAATTGTGACTTCCTGAACAGGTAAACCAGACATATGAGCAAAAGGCTAATCAGAAAGTAAAGCAGGGATAGAGGTGTAGCTCGGTGATTAAAGCACAGGCCCTGGGATTAATCCCTAATACCATTTAAAAAAAAAAAAAGTAAACCAACATACTAAATTATAATGAGAATGTTTTCCAACACAGTTTTATAATATAAGCCTTTTTGTTTGTTTTAGGCAGTGCTGGGGACTAAACCCAGGGACTTGTACTAGGTAAGCGCTCACCACTGAGTTATATCCCCAACCTTAGACTGATTTTTCTCCATTCCTCTTAAACAAACAAAACAACAACAACAAAAAGTAAAGTTAAGTAAGAAATACCACATAAACCATGAAGAGCTTAGATGAATAAAAAATTAGAATCTATGAGAAAAGGCAACCACCTGAACTGCTTATTAATTTCTTCAGATGTTTAAAGAATGTCTAGATTGCAGGTTAATGGTAACTGCAGAAAGATACCTGACTTGGATTTCTCCACGAATTCCAGGGCCCACCTTCAAAAGTCTGGGTCTGAATGAAAGTGATGGAACCAAAAGAAAATGGCTCAGTGTTAAATTCTGCTCAATGCTTACTGAGCGTGAGTCCTATGCCTTGTTCTACATTACCAGGTTCTCTGTTGCACACATTCTATCAAATTCTCACTGGAATTTTTAGAAAGAAAATTTTAATTCCCATTTATGTAATAAGAAATTACACCTCTGAGAGATGAAATGCTCATCCAAACACACAATATCCATAATTTTCACGGCCAAAATTCAAAACCAGTCTCTCAATTCCAGGATCATGACCCTTGCAATTACAAGAGTCATTTTCAGACTCAGTTACATTGTTTTCTTGTTCTCCAGAACATTGCTATTTTTGTCAAATTCGATGGTATTTCTTAATCCAAAAGGAAAAACGAAATTTTAAGGAAAGGAAAAAAGAAGATGTGAAAAGAAAATAATAGCCATATGACTGTTACTTTACTCCATTTCAGAAACCCCTCTTTTTCCCTGAGCAATGGACGAAGAAAGTGATGGTAGGGTGGGACAGTGGATGCTGGGGAGGCAGGGCATCAACAACTCGCTTCCAGGAGAAACGGCACAAACGCATACAGTTCTGAAAACACCTGAACAGTAGTATCTTAAGGTGCTGGTCACTGATCAAGGCAGAACATATACTGGAAGAAAGCCAGGTCCTTGGTGACATCATTGAATGATGGCACAAACCAACCAACCCTGTCACTACCCTACTAATATGCTTTCAGTTGTATGAGCCAATAAATGCACTTCTGGTTTAAGCTATTATGGTTGGATTTTTCTGTTATCGTGGCCAAAAGTGCGCTAATCGGTAACATAAAAGGCAAGAGGGAATAATGGTTAATATGACTATAATACATGTTGGTACATTTGCCCTCGAGTTTGGATTTTTTAACTCTAGTCTTCATGGTTGCCAGACATGTATAAACACAGGTCTGCATGTGAGCACACACATCGTTTTTAGTATTGGGAAAAAAAGAAATATACAAATCTCCAAGAGGGAAAAGAAACGTTCCCAGGCACTAAATAACAAATGTCAAACTGATAATTCAGACACACTCTGTGCAGGACAAGCAATATTTCTTTAAATGGTAAACCAATGCCTAATCTTTTAGTTGAGATACAGGTTCTTTGGATGTTTTATGAAATGCTGCTTAGCAGACAGTAGACCATCAGTCAAGTATTTGTTGATTTAATTTCAATTGGATGAGGAATATGAAGGAGCATATTTTTCAGCTCCTCTCAGTTGGTGCACCTACACATACCCAAACCATGAGAGCCCTGAAAGTGCTCGAACTTGCGATGTGTTTTGAAAGAAAGATTTACTTATTTATTTATTGTAGTTGGACGCAATAACTCTATTTCATTTATTTATATGTGGTGTTAAGGATTGAACCCAGGGCCTTGCACATGCGACGTGAGCACTATACCACTGAGCCATAACCCCAGCCCAGAAAGATTTCTCATAATGCTTTACAAGCAGCCTCCTGTGGCTTCCCTATTTTCTACAAGGTTTTGACAGTGGTAGATTGCATTGGGCTGTGTCCTATAACAACTTGCCACAAAAATTAAGAGCTTAAATGTTTTTATTTAAATTACTGTGAACCCTAGATGTTTACTATAATGTTACTGAGGGTTTTCTGCCAATGACCACCTCTGTTCCATCCTACTGGTGCTCACAGATTGAACAGATGCTTAATGAGCAAAGACCCAGCTTGCCACCTTTAAAATAAAATTTGGTTCTACATATTTTTATTGTATTTCCACCACCCTAAAGGAATGAACAAGCAGAACACTCTTCTTCCAGAGAGAATGTGAAAAGCCTGGGAGTTGTCAACCATACACTTAATGATATATTTTATCTCCCATATCTTGATTCTTGGAGTTTGAAATGGTATAACCTAGAATTGTGCAGAAAACCATTAATCATCAGAAACGGAGGGGATGGGTATAGGACAAAGAGATATATGGGTAGGCAGGGTTTCAGCACATAAAACCATTATGAATCAGACTTTTGGGCTGGGTGTGGTAGACACGTAGGTAATCCCAGCAATTCGGGAGGCTGAGGCAGAAAGAAGGACCACAAGATTGAGGCCAGTCTGAACAATTTAGCAATACCATATCTCAAAAATTTAAGACTGGAGATACAGCTCAGTGGTACAGCACCCTGGATTCAATCTCTAGTTATCAGGAAAAAAGAAAATCAGACTTTTCACATGCTCCAATCCACATCATCTCTAATGTCTTTTCTTTATGAGAAAGGAAGCAGAATTTACTAGAGGTGGATACTTTAGGCATAGGTGGGAGCTTATAGACTTCATCTAACCCGCACAGAAGCTACAAATGAGATTTATACATCCAGTTGCTAATAATTGCATTATTATTTACCTATTGATACATTTAAAAATAATATTGTTAAATTGAGAAATACAAAACATACTTAAGCCAAACAAAGTAAATACTTAAGAACATCTGCCTTAGCAAGGATTACAAAAAAATTTATATGTATTACCAAGCATGCTTTCATGCGAACACATGGGAGTAGGAGATTGAGAGAAAAAAAAGTGATTTCACTTTTTAAAAATTATAATTTACACCAACAACCCTGAAAGCCTAGATGAAATGGGACAAATTCCTTAATGTCATGAATTACCAAAACTGACACAAGAAATACAAAACCCAAACCTGTAAGACAAGAAGGATGTAAAGAAATTGAATTAATCACTAAAAATTTTATTTTTAATTATTTAAAAGTACAACAAACAAAAGATTGCTTCACTGGTGAATTTTATGATCATTTAAAGAAGTAATGCCAATACTCCACAAACTTATAGAAACTACAGGGGAGTGATAAATTTCCAAACTCATGCTCAAATATATCCCCCTGACACCACATAAAGACATCACAAGAAGGAAAATAACAGATATTCTTCCCAAATACAAATGCAAAATCTACAAAGAAAAACATTAACAAACTGAATCTAACATGAACATGTGAATTTTATCCCTGGAAGGCAAGGTAGGGTTCACACTCCAAAATCAATTAATGCAATGTATCATATTCACAGAAGGTTAAAAAAACACTTAATAACATGCAAAACCCAATCATGAAAAAACTCAGTAATTTGGAAAAGTAGGAAATTACCTCAACCCAATAAATAAGACTCTATTTAAAACAAACTATAATCATACTTACAGGTAAAGATGAAAACTTCACTCCCAAGATCAGATCAAGGCAAGAATTTATGCTTGCATCTATTCTATTTAACACCGAATTGAAGTTCTGCCCAGTTCTACCCAATCAGGCAAGGAAAAAAATAAATGCATCTAGATTGTAAAAACTGACCTTTTTTTTTCCCTCAAGAGATAGGATCGTACATATAGAAAATAGTAAAATTTCCCGCAAACCAGTAGAAATAATAAGTAACACTGAAGTCACAGGATAGCATATGAATGCACAAAATTGTATTTCTATAAAGCAAACAAATAATCCAAAAACTAAAACTAGAATACAATTCCGTTCATAATAGCATACAAAATATATACTTTGTAATAAATTTAACAAAAGCAATGCAAAACCCATACACTAAAAAATTACAAAATTATGCTGAAGTTTAGTGCCAGAACTAGATATTCATGTGAGGAAAGATGAGCCTTCACCTAACAAAATACACAAGAATCAACTCAAAATGCATCATGCTTAAGCCCAGCAGCTTGAGAGGCTGAGACTTAAATTATCACGAGTTCAAAGCCAGCCTCAGCAACCGCGAGGTGCTAAGCAACTCAGTGAGACCCTGTCTCTAAATGAAATACTATTTAGGGCTGGGGGTGTGGCTCAGTGGTCAAGTGACCCTGAATTCAATCTCAGGTACCCGCCCCCCAAAAAAGATCAGCTTAAAGTGAAAGCTAAAACAATAAAATTTTCAGAATAAATACAGGATAAAATTTTCAAGACCTTGAGTTAGCCAAAGATTTCTTAGATCCTATACCAAAAGCACAATAAAAGGAACTTACCAAAGTTTAAAAAACTGTAGCACTTTAAAACACATTTGGGGGCTGAGGATATTGTGCTCAGTGGTAAAGCCCCTGCCTCGAATGTGTGAGGCACTGGGTTTGATACTTAGCACCACATATTTAAAGAATAAAAAAATAAAAAATAAAAAAATAAAGGCATGCTGTCCATCTACAACTATTAAAAAAAAAAAGATCATGAGTTATTAGGAAAATGGAAAATAAAATCAAATGAGGTAGACACTGGGGGCTGGGATTGTGGCTCAGCGGTAGAGCGCTCGCCTAGCACAGGCGGGACCCGGGTTCGATCCTCAGCACCACATAAAAATAAAGGCATTGTGTTGTGTCCATCTACACCTAAAAAGACAGAGAGAGAGAGAAACCGTTTCATGACCCCTAGAATAGCTGTGTAAGACAGATAACAATAAATGCTGATGAGGAAATAAAGAAAATGGAGTCCTCACACTACTGTTGAGAAGGTAAAATGCTGCATCAAATTTGTAAAACAGAAGGTAAAATGCTGCATCAAATTTGTAAAAAAGTTTCTAAAAAGCTAAACACAAAACTAATAAACAACCCAGCAATTCTACTCCTAGAGAAATCAATGTGTCCACAGACAGACTTGCATGCTAATGTTCACAGCAACATTATTTCTAACAATCAAAAGCTGTAACCAATGAATCATCACCAGCTATGAATAGGGCAAAATGTGATATATCCATAAAAAGGAAGGCAATTCAACAATAAAAAAGGAAAATCTACTGACACATAATAGAGATCATGGATGAATCTCAAAAACATGAAAAGAGAAGCTGGGCAAAGGAACACAAGCAGCTTCAGAGACTTGAGGCAGGAGGATCACAAGTTCCAGGCTAGCCTCCACAACTCAGCAAGACCCTGCCTCAAAATAAAATTTAAAAAAAGAGCTTAGGGTGTAGGTCAGTGGTAGAGCACTTGCCTACCATGCATGAGATCCTGGTGTTGATACACAGAACAGCACTCATGCCCCTGCCTCCGCAAACACCCACAAAATAAACCTTGCAAAGAGAAAGAAGCTGGAGAAAATGAAAATTTAGAAAGAAAGTAGATCACGGTCGACTGAGGACGGGAATAGAGATTAACTTCAAATGAGCATGGGAGAATCTTCTAGGGGGGTGGAAATATTCTAAAATGGATTATGGTTGCACAACTGACAGTTTATAAAAATTCACTGTATAAATAGTTGAATTTTAAAATATGTAAAAATATAACTTGGTAAAAAAGATTCTTTTCTCTAGATCTGGACTTTCAATTGGTAGTGAAAAGCTACTGAGGATTCTTACATAGGCACTCAGTAAGTCATTGATTAGTAAGCAATGAAAAAACTACAACAACTAACTTTTTACGAAGTCTAACATGTCTAACTGCTGAGAGGATGTGTGAAAATAATGTGACAGACAAGAGATCCATATTGGAAAAACAGAGAGCATGGGCTGAATGTGCATCCAAACATAACATACATGTGGTATTAGAAAGTTCATTAAACAAGTTGAGTTTAATTCATGTGTGCATGAGTTAGAAAATTCTGAGTATTCAACACATTGAGTATCAAGTTCACAATATGGCTGCTCATGATCTAAGAACTGATGGCTGGTGGTAGCAGTGAAATAGTATTAGGAATTAGAAACTATATTTTAGGTGTGTCTAACATATATTTGATAAGTTTATTGCACCAAAATTTCTTTAGGACCTTTGGATGGACACTGTTAGTAACCAACCACCACACCTCTATTTTCTCAAATTCTCAAATTTTCTCTTTTAAGATTAAAGCATACAAAAACCCTTTTCTAAGCAGGAAACTGAGCTAAGACAAACCTACTGATCCAGACATGAAGCTCCTCAGGAATGGCATGTATGATACATGTATTATACGCAGCAATGGTAGTCCAATGCAAACGCATCAGAATAAATTACTTAAACAAGGTAAATTTTTTAGAAGGAAAAATGTTAAACACAAATCTATGCATGCAGTAAGTCATTAAAACAAGAAACAATGCACTGATAATTTGTGTTCTCTTGTTAAATAGGAAATAATTAAGAAGTATCATCCTATTGCTGCTACACTAGGAAGAGGAATGGCTGCAAGTTCCATTTTCACAGTCCAACAGCCACAGCATCAGTTCAACAGCCAAAAATATTACAGTCCACAGAATAAATCTGGCCTGCTAACTATTTTTGTAAATAAAGATTTATTAGAAGACAGCTACACACTTGTTCATTTACCTTTTGCCTGTGGCTGCTTGCACACTTCAACAGCACAGTTGAATATTCACTAGAGAGCCCACCTGGGCCTAAAAGCTTAAAATATTTACGAGGTATCTCTTAAAAGCAATTAACAAATGGGGAGATTTATTTAGTACTTAGTGTGGAATGACCTAGTTCAAATATTTAAACCAAGATATTAAAAGGTTACTTCTGCATCTGAAAATGCACTGGTTCAAAAGATATCCTAGGCACATCATGTGACAAGATGCACACGGAAATTGTCTGCTTTGGAGTCAAAACTTTGTTCAAATCTGAGAGCACCTAAACAAGACATTTGAGTTATGAGGCTCGCATCTGTAACACAGGGATAATGCCTACACCTTTCAAAGCTGCATGTATAGGACCCCAAACTATTAATACTAGCTATCATTAAATGTTCATTCATTCCTCTCTTCTAATCACACATCAAACTGGAACTTTCACCCCACCTCCAGATTTTGCAATAGACCTCAGTCTTTAAAAGCCAGGCATTTCTGTCTCTTGGAAACACTATTGTACAAAATACCACACATTCACTGTGGATGTACCAATCAGGGAATGTTGCTGCAAATTTTCTAAACCTCAAAGTACTCACATCAGCAAACAAATGAATATACTCAAATGCTTTCAAACTCAAAGATTCCACTCTCATTTCTAGAACAATAACTTGACTGCCCCACACACTTCAGACTCTTTTTGTTTTTATATATCATTTTCTAGTCTTTGTTTTCTATAGGAAGGCATCACATTTGCTTTTAGTTAGTCCTCACTTGAATCCATGAAACCACGCTTAAACTTGTTGGTTAAAAACAGAATCTTTTAAGTAAAATGGCCAGGCATGTTGACCTGCCCAGGAAAAAACTGATTTAGGCTTATTAACACAGAAACATTAATAGCACACCCATTCACTTACAAAAATATGTGATCACTCCATTTCTACACTTCAACTTTCCCCCATCTGAGAAATCAATCTGACCCTCAAAACTCAAACATGATGTGCAACTGGGAGAGCGGAGGGTACCCCATGTGATAAGAAATTATCTCCTACCTCTTGATAAGAGATTTGCCACCCAAAATGCTAATATAATTTTCTCTTCATTCTTACAGCCAGCTGCTCAGACTCTTCATTTCCTAGATCTACATAGTAACATTTAAAAAATCCCAAACATAAGGTAATCTAAATAAACTATAGGGAAATAGGTATCTACTGATTAGCATACTGTGTAGTTTAAGAGTATACTTACAAATACTAAAAATTTGGCAAAAAAAAATTTATATAAAATGTTTTATGTGAAAAGCAAGTTATTAACTGTATATATGGGGGAAGATTTGAAAAGAAATAGTAAAATATTCATAGTGGTAGTATTTCAAGTGATGATGCTAACTGAATAAATCCTGTCTCTGTGTTCTCCACTTTCACTGAAATGAATCTGTACTGTGTTTATGACGAAAGACTCCCACAAGTAGCCAAAGAACACAGAAGTTTGTACTAAATCTGAAGTGAATATACAGGGAATGTACCCAAATGTTAATCAATCACAAACTGCTATACTAGCTATAGGCACAGCCTGAACAACATGAGGTATTTACAGAAGGCACAGAACACCCAGGTCACTTCTAGGATAAAGGGTTTGGCCTTTGCTTATGCAAAGTACTTGTAATGTCATCGGTGGCAAGAGATTTCTAGAGTTCAAGGTGGTGTTAGAGTAATGGTTCTTACCCAGGTTTAAGCTTGAAGAGGATCCATGTGAAGAGAGGGAAGGAGGTGGTGTCTGTGAATGTCCTGGTCCCTGACTAGGGAGAGGCATGCCCACGGGTCCAGGAGAGGAGGAAAAGCTAAGGCCGTTATAAAAACTGTGTCCAATGGGGGTCAAGCTGCTCGATGTCCTCTTATAAAGGTCACTGCTGCCAGTCAGGGAGTCACGGCGGGAGCCACTGCCAGTGTTGGAGTTTGCAACTAAAATGGAATTAAAACAATGCAGATAAGAACAGGCCTGTTCTTCGAAGAACAAGCCCAGTGACCTGTTCCTAACACTTTGATCCAGACTCCTTACCACCGCAAATTTGTCAGCAGAGACAGCCTAATTATTAATGTAGCAGTTCTAGGGACAGATAAAGTAATAAAGAGGACATGGCTCAGGTAAACATGAAACTTTTGTTCAACAACATCACACGTATATGGCAAATTTACCTTCCTCTGGTGTCATATATATTATGGGATGGGAACGGGTTAAAAAACTCTGACGGCCACATGAGCTATGGGAAAAGGTGAAAGAAAATGGACTAGAAAGAATGCCTTTCATCCACCCAAAGTAGAAAAATGGAATACAGAAAAAAAAAAAAAAAGTCTCTAAATGGGGCACTGCCCCACTACATAAGACTTACACATGAAAGCCTGTTTTCTCAGTGGGCTCAATCAAGAGTTACTACTAGCCTCCAATTCCAATTAGGATACTTTCTCTTAATCATGCCTTTCCGTTTTGAGGTCACATTGTTTTATAACTACTGCAATTATCCCATTGTTCACCAGACTACATTCCTACTTCTTTTCTTCCATCAAAACATTAAAAATGTTTTGTCTCATATCCTTCCTCCCAATTTTCCACAATGTCTTCTTTAATGTTGTTTGAAAGACTGGAGAAAACTCTTAACTCTTTATGGTCTGCAAGCCAAGCACTGGGCACAGTCTGGAATGTGGAGTACCCAGCCCTGTAATCCTCCAAAGTACTCTCCATCAGTTTTTAACATCCACAATTCTACAGTGCCTTCCATATTCTTACCACTGCCTACAAAAATCTCCTGTTTAAGAACCTGAAACAAATTAACTATGTGAGTGTAAATAAGTTACAACATGAGCATGGACCTAAAATTGATCCCAACTGTACAATTTGATTTCAAAAGTCCATCATCTCAAAGATTGTGTGGGCTGGCTGGATTCCCACGGGGCTCGATCCAGATCTGCCTGTGATATCTGTCCAGGGTTCCATACATTGTCAGGGTTCCAGAAAGATTATAATAATAATTAAAACTCAGTTTTAACAGCATTATCAGTTTGATTTCTACCTGCTGTTCCAAATCCTCCAAGGGCTGATCCCAGGGTGGCACCAAGAGAACTGCTACTTCCAAATCCCAAGGATGTGTTGGCAGGTTGGGCAGAGCCCTGGGAGAAGAGGGAGCTGCTTTGTGAGTTGCTGCTCAGAGTGTTGTTGCCATAGAAAGAGCTGGATGCCAGGTTGTTACTGGGCTGCTGCTGGGGCTGGGGCTGAGGCTGCTGGGTTCCTAAAGGGCGAAATGGTCCGTTTGTAGTTCCAGCAAGACCACCAGCAGCTCCATTTGCTGAAGCTGCAGCTGCTGCAACAGCTGTGAAGAAAGCAAACCATTTAGCTATGAAAGGGCTTAGGTGCATTTCCAAACTCCATTTTTTTTTACCCATTTTTAAACCTCTTAATTCTACCTATCTTTTCAAGGCAGACACAAACCTTGAAAAGAACTATACAAATCTATCTTTGATCCCTTCATTTGAAGCTTCTACTTTCTATTTCTACTTTTGATTTGAAATCAAAATACCAAGGGAGCAAGCTCACTATGTTGGCAGCTTATTTAAAGCATGTGTAGTTTAAAAGGGGTACAAACATCAAATGTATCCATTAAATACAACTACTTCCTAAAATCTCAAATTCCATACATATCTGTGATGAGATTTTTTTTCAAACCGTGACATACATATACTAAAGCTCCCCCAAAACCTATATTTTTATACCACTCTCTTCCAGATATTATTTATTTTAAATTTTTAATTTGTTATATACAACAACAATATGCATTACAATTCATATTACACATATGGAGCACTATTTTTCTTATCTCTGGTTGTACACAAAGTAGAGTCACATTCTTTGTGTCTTCATACATGTACTTAGGGTAATGATGACCATCGCATTCCACAATTTTTCCTACACCTATGCCCACTTCCTTCCACTCCCTCCCCTTTTCCCCTTTGCCCTATCTAGAGTTCATTTAATCCTCCCATTTCTACTGCTGCTAATTTTTAAAAATGCATTTAAAACTTAATATAAAAAACTCTCACTGCACCCCAAGCAAATATTTCTTGCCCAGTTCTCACTACTTTTTCCTATTTCCTCTATCCTTACCCTATGCCAAACCGCCCCTTATACACACCCACCAAATTATCTAAAAAACAATGACTTCAGTATTTGTAACATTAGCCTTGGAATGCTGCCAACAGTACATTTTCTATGAGTAATCCATCTTCCAATGATCTCAATGGAGCCGGTCCTGTGTCTAACCAGATGGTACATGACATGCCCCCCCCCAACCCAATCAGAATCAACAGAGGTCACTTATTGCTTCTGATTCTCTCTTTGAAATATTATAGGGTGGAACTGTTATGCTGAGAATTACCAACTAAGGTACACTTCACCAGCAGTTCCCTCCTTGCACCCCATACCTTTAGCTGAAGCACCCAGATGAAGCTCACCTGCTTGTGCAGCTGAGGAACTAATGATGACTGGGGCAGGAGCTACAAGCCGAACAGGAGCTCCAATACCATTTCTTGCTCCTGCATTCACCACAAGGGCACCAGTTTGGTCATAGTAAGCAGCAGGAGCCAAAACTGGATAACCTAGGAATATCAAAGTCAGCATATGAAGAGATATACTGCAGTTCCCCCTTATCTACAGTTTTGTTTGTCACTATTTCAGTTACCATGGAAAAATATTAAATGGAAAATCCCAATAATAAACAATTCAAATAACTTTTAAAGTGCGCACCATACTGAATAGCATAACAAAAATCTCATGCTATTCTGCTCCATCTGCCAGAGATATAAACAATCCCTTTGTCCCCCATATCTGTTCTATAAATGCTACCCACCCATTAGTTAACTTAGTTCTATCAGACTGCCTTAGTTGTCAGATCAATTTTGGTACTGCAGTACTTATGTTCAAGTGAACATCATTTTACTTTATAATTGTTCCAAGTGCAAGAGTAGTGATGCTAGTGATTCAGATATGCCAAGAAGGCATTAAGTGCTAAGTAAAAAGATGAAAAAGATGGTTTAAAGAAAGAATGACCTCATATGCTGAGCTTGCCTGAATCTACAGTAAAGCTATGGTTGTTGATATTAATGTGCTTATTAACTTATAAATTAAGCTTTATATAAGTATGTATGTATATACTATCCATGGTTCCAGGCATCCAATGAAGAGTCTTGCAAGATTTCTAGCATATTAATTAAGTGCACAGTAAAGAAAAGTGTTGGTTATTCCTCTGCTGATAGTGAGAAGGTAACTGAGTAGGATAGGAATGTGTGCTCTTTGAAGTGCTAGCCAAGGCTATCACAAACAATCATATACCAATAATCTGGATTTTTTTTTAATATTTATTTTTTAGTTGTAGTTGGACACAATACCATTATTTTATTTATTTATTGTTACATGGTGCTGAGGATAGAACCCAGGGCCTCGCACATGCTAGGCGAGTGCTCTACCGCTGAGCCACAACCCCAGCCCTAATCTGATTTCTTAAATACGCAAATACAAGAAGCTATGAGGATTACAATCGTCATAGTATTTCCATACCACTTAATAATCAAAGCATAAATATCCTAAAAGTCAGCAGGAAAGGCTTCAAAAGATGAAATCTCTAATAAATCTTAATTTGAGCCACATGGGATAATAAAATGTAAAGGATTAGTGACTAACAAATGAAGCAAGTTAACTTTATTCATTGAATTCATGAATGGATCAGTTAATCTGGCTATGTTCCATAGTCAATAAAGATATTTACACACAATATTTAAGTTGAGGTCTCTTTTAAGTGAAGAATATGAAACTACATCTGATCCCACACAAAGCCCAGATCAGCAAACCAAGAATAATACACCATACATTCATTTTACATGTATCAGAAGTAGGCAGTTTAAAATCACCTCTATTACTGATAAAAAAAAAAATCCTAAAAATATAAAAAGACTGACCCTATCAATAACAGGACTTTCTTCCCACTGTGCTATTCAAACACAAAGGTATGAAGACTAAAGCCTTGGAGTGGTGATAAGATAGGCCAACCACATCCTTAATTCTAAGCAAGAAAAAGTTGACCACCAAAGAAAAATCACATTAATTCAAGCTGTGTGGACATTCATATCTCCAACATGTAAAACTTAAAACTGGCTCAGAATAATGCTCTCATCAACGAACTATGGTCTAAGTGAGGGCAAGTGTATATCATCCTTGCCAGTATCCAAATCTTGACAAGCCCAAACAAGCTGAAAGCTTGAATTATGCACATTCTTCTCAGTATCACCCCAAAAAGCAGACTTTCCTCCACCCCACTCACAGTGTTAGGAACAAGGTGCAGTATTACCTGGCATGCCTGCAGCCAGACCTTGTCCAAAGGCAAGAGCAGAATTTACAGCTGCAGCTGCCACTAGTGGGTCTGTTTGCTGTCCCTGTTGGTTCTGATTTGGGGTCAAAGGACGCTGGCTGGCTCCTCCACGGAGAACCTGGAAATGGGAGACAGAAAAAAGTCAACTACTTTCTTCTCACTGGGAGTATTTAAGACCCCCCATATGCTCAAGTTCAAGTCGAGTCAACTTTTAAAAATTAATAGTTGTAAAACATTTAAAATGTTTTACATGTGGTACGGCTGTTAGGATAAAAATCCAATTAATGACATTATTCTACCATACTTAGTTTTTAAACATAGCACCTCTATAAGTAGGAAAAAGTGGACAAAAGGGATGACTCTTTCATTAATCAGATATTTGATTCCTATCATGTGGCAGATGCTAGGGACAAGGCAATGAACACAGCAAGCAAAGCCTGCCTTCATGGAACTTTTACTTTAGTGAGTAAGAAAGATAATCAACAATAAATACGTAACGTCAGTATTCAGACCAAAAGTGAGTGTAGAAGAAATGGTAAGCAGGAGAGGGAGGGTGCACTCCAGACAGGACAAACAGCGAACTTAACCCACACATTTCAGTTAAAATACCTGTGTGTATGTACACACACACACACACACACACACACTTTTATTTTTTTTCTACCCTTTAACACTATTCCCATTTAATCAATGCCCAAATGAACAGATTTGATTTTGGAGGCTTCTAAGTTGCTTCACTTTAACAGATTCTACAAAAATGTTCATCTAAATGAGCGTTAGTCAAGTTCAGTGCAGAACACCAGTTCTGCCACTGTTACATTTCCTGCTATTAAAGAAACAGAGATATCAAGAAGTCAACAATTATTTTTATTCTGAAGGATTTGAAGTATACATTTCACAAGATCTATTATATTCCAGCAAGTAAAAATGCCAAGCCCCACAGATGGATGCTGAAATTGCCATTTTCTGAAATTGCCATTATGTTTGCAAGCACAAAGTTCTCATAAGATCACTTTAAATTTCACCTTGCTATTTATTAAAAGCTTAAATATGTAGTCAAGAACAGATTAACTTTTATACCATTTGGGAAAGAATACAAAAAGAAAAACATTAACAATCAACTAATCTTTTACTGATTAACCTAATTACCCTATGTGAATAACACTGTTAAGAAGAGATGAGTGGAAACTAATTAAAACAAATTAAAAAAATTTAAAAATAATAATAATGAGAGCAATGATGTGTGGACACTTAATTTACCCAAAGTCTTTTATTTCTTTATCTGCAAACAGTGAGAGTTTTAACAGCTGATCTTACAGACATGCTGGGACCATTATACAAGGTATAGTGCCTAATACCAGTGGATAATCAATAAACAGTAGCTCATCACTATTATCAAAATATTATGCAATTTATTTTTGTGACCTGAAGACTCCAACCAACTTTACAGGAGAAAGAGTGTGTCAGACTACATGGAGAGAAGAGGGGAGGGGACTGCACAGAAAAATTTCACTGTATGAACTTATTCCAAGGAAATAATCATAAACTTATGAAAATATTATAATCATGATTTATAACACCAAAATATTAAGTTAAATCTCAAACTGATCAGTCAAAATAAAGCATAGAATATTCTTTAATGGATGATATTTAAAAGAACACTAACATCGAAGAATAAGAAAGAATAACAAAACCATATGGACAAAATAATTCTAAATTAAATAAGGGCTGGGGATGTCACTCAGAGGTAGAGTGCTTGCCTAGCACACACGAGACCCTGGGTTCAATCCTGGGAGTGCAGAAGGGAGGGAAGGAAGGAGGGAACAAAATAGTAAGATTATTTTTTTTTACATAAAAATTTAGGGTAATTTTTTTTTCCTTTTAAGCAGTATTTTAGTAATCGGGGAAAATGGTGTATTCAATTAAGAAGAAAGCTGGGTGTGGTGGCTCAAGTAATCCCAGGGACTCAGGAGGCCAAGGAGGACTGCAAGTTCGAGGAAGACTCAGCAATTTAGCAGGCCTTGAGCAACTTAGTGAAACCCTGTCTCAAAATAAAACATTAAAAGAACTGTGGCTCAGTGGTAAAGTACCCCTGGGTTCAATCTTGGTATCAAAGAAAAGAAAAAAGACATATAGTACTTTGTTTACTTTTAACTATTCTTTCTTTAAAAATGTAGTTTAAAAGCTCCTATAAGTTAACCGTTATGACAGAGCTATATCCAATACAATAGGTGTTGGTGATATGCAGTCTAAAAGCCTAGCACCTCCCCCTTGCTTGGTAAGTAAGTCATTTGCAAATTCTGAAGTGATGTGAAAATGGTGCAGAGCAGGCATCTATAATATGGTAAAAGGAAAATTTTACTACCAGTCTAAAGATCCACTTTGCTACTTCCTAGCTATATGATCTTAATTGAACAATCCTCTAACCAAGTTTCTCTTATGAAAATTGAATGAATATCATTACCTCACCTACTTGCACTGACCAAGTGCCTGATATTTAAAAGGCATTTCACAAGAACAGTTAAATCTGAGATTGAATATACATACACACACAAGAGGGAACTCATTGCTTTCAGTGTTTTTCTGTTAGAGAAGAAACATCCTGACATAAGTAAATTGTGTTTACATTTACCTGCTGCTGTCCTTGCTGAGCCTGTGGGGTGGTCTGCTGATTAGCAGAATTAGTTGCTGCTGCTGCAGCAGCAGCTTGCTGCTGAAAAAGACTGGCAGGGTAGACTCCCCAGGGTGTGACTCCATAATACTGGTGAGGGACCACAGCTGGGCCTAAAAACAAGAAGGGAAAGGCAAGGAAGATTAGACTAGTAAGAATCATCTCAGGACTTCCAAAGACTACATCTGACCCAGTAGATCCTACCATAAAAATATTAACTTAAAGAATACATTGGGTTGTGCTAGCTAATCATTAATTGTCCTTTGAAACAGAAAATATTATATATAAGAAACTTAAGCCAAAGTCTTCTGAAGTCAATTATCATATTCCAAACCTAAAAAAGAGACACTGAGGGACAAAATTTTGAGATACTGAAAGGAGAAAAACTGACAAGTTCAGAGGAGCTGGGTTTAAGAACTGTTGGAGGGACTGGCCTTGGAAGAAATAATGGTTTTCCTATGAGAAAGAAAGGATATGGCGTAGATATGGAAATGTTTATTGTAAGGAGAGAAAGAAATTAAGGGTTTGGGCACTTAAAGCGATGAAGGACAAAATATGGATGTATCCTACTTTCATAGTAAGAATGGCACCGGAGAGGATTGACAGGACCCTGGTGCATCCTTTACTCCAGAAGCATGAAAATCTATCAGTCTTCTGACAAAAATCCCCAACACTTGACTGACTTCCACTGTTCAATTTCAAATAGGCTTGGTTTTCTTATTTCTATTTTTTAAATTACAGAAGTTTTTCACACAACTACATTCAGACACTCATATATGAAATTTCAAGTCACATGTAGAACCACCACCAAAAAAAGAAAACAAAACAAACAAACAAAAAAAAACAGCACCTTGGTTATAGATTAGCCAATATCCTAAACAAAACTAAATATTCTGTTTTAATCTAAATGATCTGTTCACATTTTCTGGCAACAAGCTACAGCTATAGGCTCTGCCACACAGGATAGGTAGCAGAGATGTAACAGAGTCATGAAAACAGCAACATGGATGTGGCAAAACTCTTAACCACAGAAGCTGGTGACAAGAGACACCAAGGATGAACATTTGTCAATCAAGAAAAGAGCTCAAAAAATAATTTAAAGCAAATAATAAAAAGTTAAAATGATTTGCTGGGGATAGAACCCAGGGCCTCATGCACACTATGCAAGCACTCTGCCACTCAGCTGCAATCCAGTCCAATGCTTTGGCATTTCCATCTTGGTATTTTCTATATTCTTGGGCAGAACAAAAAGTTCTGTTTATACGCAAAAGGGTTTATAAACACTATGTGAAACAGTATACCTGTGAAACACTATACCTGGGTACATACCAAAGGTGCTATTCAGAAAAGTCATGTTACAATAGGAAATATTATATTATAAGCAAAATATTTTTAAGTTGTCATTACTACCACATTGAAGAAAAATAATGGTGGGTCCCCAAACTCCTCTGACTAGTATTCACATACTAGTAAATTAAAGAAAACAATGAGAGGAGAAAATGAAGACTCTACCTGTGCCTTAGTTTCCTCGCTTGTAAAATAAATACTAATAGGTGCTAGTGGTATGGCCATATTGACCTTGAAAGGATAGGTTGCAATCTGCAATGAAAATCCCTGGCTCCCCCAAGAGCCAACAAAGTGATCCTGGACAGAGTGTGCATTAATCTTTAAATTTTCTCAACTAGCATTTCTACTACATTACCCTGGACATGTGGCCTAAGATCGAATTCAGGAAGACATCTTGGGATGATTAATTCAGTGTTTCTCATCAGAGTGCCTACTTCAATTCCTGTGTGAGTGACACCATACTCCATAGGTTGTGAGTTAACATCATGTGTGAAAAGCACTAAGGTCACTTTCAGTCTGGCTCAGCATGAATACCAAAAAAAGGAAAAAAAAAACCCAAGATTCTCACCACCAAACTAGCATCTCAATGAGCGTAAGTATGTCACACCTAAGATTAGCTCTGCTTCAAATAATATGTTAAAGCAGTGGTGGAAAGGACTTTAAGAAAGTAAAGGCTAGATAACTCAAGGTAGCGTGGTCAATCTAGATGATAGTAAAATGTAAAGCCTGGAGTTAAACCTGGTTACAAACCCAAACATACATTTAGATTATGTGACCTCATACAAGATATCACTCTGAACTCAATCTCCTAATCTGTCAAAATATTCTCTGACAACACACATAAACAAAAAGCACTCAGGACAATGCTTATAAATAGTTAAGTGTTGCATACAGGCTAATAGTGGTGAGCAAAGACTATTCTACTACAAAGAGCTTTTCATTTTCCTCAAAAACTAGAAGAGGGGGCCATCTTAAATATGCTCCCATGATAAAGAGGAAAACAATTCTAAAGAAAACCTAAGAAATGATGTTCTGTACTGAGTTCATAATATCAAATTATGTCGTACAATAAATGAAATTTCAGACTAGGAATGTAACTCAGTGACAGAGCGCTTGCCTAGCAAGTGCAAGGCCCTGGGATTGATCCCCCAGCACCTCAAAAATAAACAAGTAAAATTTACATGGCTATTTAGTCATGATAAACATAATTTGAAGGAATGCGTCCTCAAAGAATGCTCTAGAAGATGTTTTATATGTCCTAATGTTAAGCTCAATCCACCCATATACAATAGCCCCACTGTGGTGGTAACATCTGTATCAAACAGAGTCAAACAGGAAAGGTGCTTTCTTTTGAAAGATTCAGTTTCAAGAGAAATAATATTCATAAGCTTCTCCACAAGCAAACAAAAACAATGCCATAATCAGTGATGAAAAAGAAAAATTATCATGGGAGGATTTCTGAAGCTAAGAATGCCAGCCAAAGAGCTTGAGAGAGAGAGAGAACTGTTCACTACAGAAGTTTAAGGTGTCTACAGACTAAGGCCTAATCCAGTGCAGTACCTGCAGCAAACTGAAAGGAAATCAATATCACTACGGTGTGAGCCTATGGCTACCTATCAAGAGGGGAGAATGGTGCACAAGTACAGGCCTACACAAAGAATGCCCTATACATAGGGGAAGATGCCAACCTGAGCTCATCCTCAAAATTATCAGGTAATGTCTTAAAAATACTAATACCAAGGACAAACTCCAGCACCCTCCAAGAAAAAGTGAACCCCGAAAATAAGAGTGAAAGGACTAGATTTATGTTTAAAATCATATTCCTGAAAATTTCAGAAAGGAGGAGGAAGAAAAAGAGGCACAGAAATTAGGGATATGTAAGAGAGACCAGTTTAAGAATCAGAATAATTGTAGATGAGAAGGACTAAGTAGACCTGGCTAAGGAGAGAAATTCCTAAAATATAAATGAGCTTTGTGTGGGTCCACAAAACCACAAAATACCTATGAAGGGGGCAGGTGATAAATTTGCTTTTGGATATGTTAGAGTCAGAGGGACCTATAATTATAGCTAAGTAGAGATATCCAACTAGCAGATGGGGCATTAAAAATCAAGACATGTTTCTGTTGGGAGACATGGAGTTGGGAGTTGCATGCCCATCTCAAATTGCTTTAGCAAGTGAGAAAATCCCTCATGCAGCAGTATGTCTCACCTAGCGTCGCTGCTGCAGCCAATCCAGCTGTGTAGGGGTCCGTCCCTGGGGGAGCAGCACTGATGATGTATGGATTGGGGACAAACGCAGCGGGAGCTAAACCTGCTGAAAACATACCTGTCAGTAAAAACAAACTTCACCAAAACTGCAACCTGTCAGTAAAAACAAACTTCACCAAAACTGCAACCCTACCAAACACCTATATATTTTGGCTACAAGTTCAGGATATAGATGATTGGGGATGGGGGGTAAGATAAGAGTGAAGAGGAATTTTACAAAGATAAAATAACCACTACCCTAAAAAATTATGGTGATATTTATCTAGTCCCTTTTTGTTTTTATCCTTTGCTAGAGAAATGCTTAAGTTAAAACCATACAGTTTTGAATTTGGCACAACTTAATTGTTAAAATTTATTTTACTGTTTTTCACTGTTTCCTTCTGTTCTTTTTCCCAGGGCCTTATGCATGCTAGGCAAGTGCTCTACCACCGAGCTATATTCCCAGCCCTTAAATTAATTTTAACTCAATTATTAGACTAAAAATATTGATAAAGTGGTACAGAGGGAAGGACTTGCTTCCATTTAAAATAATTTCCCAAACAGTTTTCCTCACAGAAAACGTGTAGGTATGTGTAAAGTCTACTATATGCAAGTCTGCAATACTGGACCCACACAAAACTTCATGCTTAGTTTTAACTAGTTTACAAGCAAATGGGTGTTTTCTTCCACAGCCATACCACATTCAAGTCTGGTGATAACCCTTCCATTCAATCATGCCATTTTGGCACATTAAAAAAGTAAATAGATAAAAATCTCTACCTATACTTGTTTGGAGTTAATGGGATTATGTTTTGAAGAGACCTTTAAAAGGTCTGGGAAGGAGAAAGGTCAAGGAGCTAGTACCAAATGTATATCAAAACTCCAATAACTGCTACAGAAAAAGGACACATCTATTTAAAAACCAACCATTACCTAAGAATTTTTTTGGTGTTTTTTTTTTTTTTTAAATTTTCAGTGCTTAGAAGACAGGTTTATAGTTACAATTTGCTACTTAGTAAATAATACTGATATAATCATAGTCTATTCAATGTCCAAACCTTTTCAAAAGAGCTAATGCTGATCATACTCATTTCTATAGTAAATACTTAAATCCTGCAACAGCTGAGGCAGGATACTAAGGAAATCTTATGAACTCAGGTCTTAATATGCCAAAAATAAAGAATGGGGCTAGAGACAACTAGACAAAATGAAGGGGCCATTTACCCTATCTGCGGGTAAACGTCTAGACTTTTGTCATCAATCTAAACCACTGGGTTTCACAGCATCCACTTATTCTAAAACGGGGGCCACACCTTTAATGAAGAGAGCTATCAGCAAAAGGACTTACCGATGTGAGGTTGATGTGCAGCTGCTAGTGCATACTGCTGTTGCTGAGCAGCTGTCAACTGCTGGACAGCAAGCGCATTAGGTCTTTGGAACAGCTGAGGTGAGAAAAAGACATGGTACAGTTAGAGAAACTGTCTAACGAAGTAAATTTAAAATCTCCAGACAAAAAAGGTCAATAAATCCCTAATGAGGCATGATGCTTTTAACAAAAATGGATGTTCTCATACTCCATTCCATTCCCATGATATTACATGCTTCATAGTTCTTCTTATCTCTTTATTTACCTCAGTTTGTCCTCCCAGCTCCATGGGCTGAGCTCTTCACAGGTTATATGTTCCCTGAACCACAAATATACATATGCAATCTCCCTAATGGTGTCAGCAAGTCTACAGGTACTGCCTAATTCAGAAACGGGAAAGTGGGAAAAATAAACTAAAAAAATGAACTGCCCCATTGCTCCTAGTGCTACTATCTCTCTTCAGGTCTTTCAAGACCCCCCAAAATGCTCTGAATTCTTACATATTCCCATTTAGGAAGAGGATATGAAAAGCATTTACTTGGTCCTCTGGGCTGCCTCTTCCTGGGAAAATGGTACTGGACAGTTCACCTGAAGGAGCAATTTATCTTAATGAGTAAAAATTAAAACTACCCAACCTTGGGGGGGCTCAAGAGTCTCCAAAGACCAATTTTTTATATACAAGGAAGAAGACAACAGAAGTACAGCCACTATCATCCAGTTCATATGAAAAATATTCAAAGACCTTAGTAATAAAAATATCCTGAGATTCTACCTAAATAGTCACTCATTCAACACACATACAGGTAATAGCACTGTGCAAGGAACTAGGGATACAACAATGAATACAACAACATGGAACCACTGTCTTCATGAAGATTACATTTCAGTATGAATAGTGTTGTTACAAAGAAGGAGGTGTTGGTAATTTTGTTCTGAATCACCTGCCTCCAAAGGATCATGCTCAAGAGTGCTGTAATCAGACTGAGAGCACTTACTGAAGGGACCTGCCTCAATACGATCCTCAACCTACCTGCTCTTTCTATAGGATTCTTCGACAACTCAGCTGATATCAATAGATAATATATAATAGATACCAAAGATTTTGAATTACAGGTATATTCATTAAGAGACCTGATTGGTTCACACATTAAGTAATAATAGCATACAACCGCCTCAACCTAATCATCTTCATGAGTGTTCTTGCTGTTATCCTAGCAGTGGGAAGATTTCATCTCATGACGTGGCTATAACTATGCCTCAAACACACACGTAAACATTTAAAATACAAAGAAATCAAAAGCTAACTATTTTAAATGTACAGGCTGACTTTATCTATTAGCTCTTTATATACATTCATTCATTTGGTGGTGGTGGAGTGGGGGGGGAGACAGGGATTGAACTCAGGGACACTCGGCCCCTTAGCTATATCCCCAGCCCTACTTTGTATTTTATTTAAAGACAGGATCTCACTGAGTTGCTTAGTGCCTGGCCATTGCTGAGGGTGGCTTTGAACTCACAATCACCCTGTCTCAGCCTTCGGAGCTGCTGGGATTACAGGCATGCACTATCACACTCAGTTCATTCACCTTTCTAAAACCAGAATAAAAATCACTCTGATTTTATACCAATGTCAAAGTAACCATTAACGGATTTCAAAGTACATTTTTTTTTATTTTTTATTTTCAAAGGTTAATGTTACAACAAATCTTCACTGTGATGCAGGTGAAGAGGATAAAGTACTAATTTATAAGCATCCGCTAAATATCAAGTTGTGGAACACCCTAGAGAAATTGAATCTATTAACAAACATATCAAAACACTTGTCCAGCCAGATGTGGTGGCACACACTTATAATCCCAGCCACTCAGGAGGCTAAGGTGGGAGGATGGTGCGTTCAAAGCCAGCCTCAGCAACTTAGCGAGGACCTAAGCAATTCAGTGAGACCCAGTCCCTTGATAAAATATTTAAAACACACACACACACACACACACACACACACACACACGCGTCCACTCCAGGAAGAGAGTCGGTCACAACAATTTGTAACTAATTTTGATTTTTTTCAATTTGATTTCACATTTCTACTTTACCTAATGAACAGTATCTCAGTCTACCCAGGAAGGGCAGCTAGGAGGTAGAAAACAAGTAAAGTAGGAGAAAGTTATATTTAAATTATTGCCAAAGTTGTAAAAACATCTTGTAGCTTGTAGTTCAGCTAAAGCATCTGCTACCTCTTCAAAGGGTCCCTGAAATTTCCTGGCCTAAAAATTTTTGAAACATTCAACATCTCAGTCACTGCTCCTTCTATACCCTTCTTTATCCCCACTGAAAATAAAATAATTCATCATTGAACTTTGAAATTATTAGATAGGCACTATGACACAGATCATCGGTTCAAAACATAGATATATCCTGACTTATCAACCAAAAAACAGTAATCTACTGCCATTCTACTTTGTTTATCCTCATTTCGTGGATTTTTTTCAGTAGTAATGTAACTTATGTATGTATGTATATATATATATATATGTAAATATACTTACAAATACATAATATGTGTGAAAACCATACAAGCCACCATATCTACATACGAGTGTGGCTCTCACCATCATGCTACCCCATTTCCTAGTAAGACTACTACTTTCAGTTAAAAGCACACTAGCCTTACAGAGCCCCCATATATTCCGTGTTTGAGATCTGAATTAGGGATTATAGTTAATAGGGAATTATTATTTTCTTGAGAGCACTTCGCAGTAAACAATTTAACAAAAGTAAATTATGTATTCACAGCCAGCTGATTTGATTATAAAATAGACTACAGCAATTTTGGCACATTCTCTTTATGTAAATGGTACATTAACTGGAAATACAGAGTATTCAAAATGAAATTGAGTAATTGGCAAGTGGGAGATTCCAAAGGATCCTAGAAAACTCACACAAATGCCATCTGCTGGGCAAGACACCGAGCTCTGCTTTTCATGATTTTCACAAAGCAACCCAATAGTCTGAAACTAAGAAAATACTGAGAGTTGGGGGAAATGTTTATTAAAGGTCGGTATAATAACAATGTGCTGGTGTTGATTATAATTCACTCAAACAAAATCAATGAGTTGTTTTAAGAGTCTGAATGCATGGGAAAATTTCAAGCATTAGGGCTTCTAGTAGACTCTGAGGCATAATAGGATTGAATACTCCTACCGGCGCCACCGCAGGTACTGGGGATTAAAACCAGGAATACTTTACTATTGAGCCCCAGTCATTTTTTGAGACAAGGTCATACTGAATTGGCCAGGCTGGTCTCAAACTCTCACTCCTCTGGCCTCTGCCTCCACCTCCTCAGTAGCTGAAATTACAGATATGTGCCACCATGACCAGTGATAATTTGGGATCTTGACAAACAAGCTAATCTGACTCCCTTCCTTATCACTTACCACATGACCTTACAAAAGATACCCGTCAGCATTCCAGAAGGAAATTTGGGCAGCTCAAACCACTAAACACAGTACTAACCCACAGCTGGCATCTTATATTAAACAATAAATAAGCTACTACTAATACTATTTAAGAGCTGCTTACTATTATTACTGTTACTATCAAGAATTGTTAGCATAAGAACACTGTTATTGAGTTTTCTGAATCTGGAGAAGTAATACCTAAATGAGAGTTAGAAAATATGAAAGACGATACCTACCCACACCCCAAATTAAAATGCCATGCCATCCCTGACTTTTTACCAGCTTAAGGCAACATACATAGTGGATAGGGAGTAAGAGCAAACACCTTCGAGACCAGGAAGCCTGGGCTCACATCTCATTTTCACTAGTGACTTGCTCTATTACTTAGGGCCAGTGACTTCTGACTCTTGGTGCCTCACTCTCTAACATGGTAACAAAGTATCTAACCCACAAGATGTTAATAGGAGTTAAATTAACACAAAGAAAGTGCTTCACAAGACATTTATGTGGGATGTTCTTTCTGATGAATGAGGAGAGTGCCCCTAAACACAACCCCTTCTGTGAGAATCACCCCTCACAGCTCCTCCCCAAGGGAGGACAGGAATTGTTTCTACTTTTTATAGTACGCGCGCCTTTCAGGGAAAGCTATGAACAAAGTTAAATTTGAAGGTAAAATAACTCCATATCAAAAAGCTCTGTGTTTATAGTACAAGGTCCAAAGGAAATAGCTTGAAGCTAGAAACCAAAATAATATGAGATTTGCATAGCTTACACCAATTGACCTTCAGCACTGAGCATGGTCCACGGTCCATGTCTTTAATCCCAGAGGCTCAGGAGGCTGAGGTAGGAGAATCACAGGTTCAAAGCCATTCTCAGTGACTTAGCAAGGCTATGAGCAACCTAGTGAGACACTATCTCAAACTTTCTAATTAAAAGGGGGAGGGGTCAATTCCTGGGGCCAATAAAATTAAGTAAAATAAAATATAACCTTCATTAAAGGCGTGTGTTTTAATTTTCTCATCTGTAAAAAGACAACTAAAGCCTTATCCAGGAGTTGTTGCCAGGATTCACAGAAAACCCCATTAATAATGGGATTATAAAATAAAGGGGGGGGGGGCTGGCACTACTGTAATCCGAGTTCAAGGCCAGCCTCCTAAGTCACTTAGTGACATTCTAAGCAATTTAACAAGACCCTGTCTTAAAAAAATAAAAAGGGCTGAAACGTATTTCAATGGTGAAGCATCCCTAGATTCAATCCTCAGTATCAAAAAGTTAAAAAGTAAACTAAAAGGGGTTGTTTTAGAGCTTCTGTTTAAAGGTTCTAGATCAAAGACCAATTTTGATCATATTATTTGAATAACTGCAATCATAAACTAATGGATACAATAATTCAGGGACAGTTTAATAAGGACATAACAAACCATAGGTCTAAATAAAAAACAAACAAAAAAAAAAAACTTCACAGTTCATTAGCAGGTAAAGAATCTGAATCCAAAATAAATTATTTCTACAGTCTTAGAATAAACACATTCCTCCACTAAGTAAATGAATAACTTGGGGAAATTCATAATAAAATTTTAGCAAAGTCAAGGGACAAGCCGGGCGCAGTGGCACACATCTG